CGAGAAAAAAAACTATTTAGGAAACAATGAGTCTAAAATAATGATCCAACAAATAATGCATCCGTAAATGGTGATGTAAATTTCTTTTGGGAGCCCAAAATTATGACCCCCCCACCCCCCGCCACATATTTTCAGCACCGCTACCTGCTACTGCAAAACTAATACGTAGCCACGTGAAAGACAACTGACACATGAAAGTTTGGCCGCCACCCGACGCCAATTCCAATTGCTAGAAAAATGAAAACGAATACGTAGCCACACAGGAAAATACTTAAAAGAAAAATGAAACATACGAGACTGTGAGACTAATGAGGAGGGGATATGACACCACGGAAAAGATCATAGCCTAATTATAGCAAATCTTCAATTATTAGATACATATTAGAATATCATTGGCATTTAAACTATACAATCTCCTACAAATCAGACACACTAGGGTATGCCATAAACTTCCAAGATTTGTGCTAATAGTAATCTTAGCATTAGAGTTGACCCATGGATTCGGTTTTCCCCACACATACAAAAATAATTAAAACCTACATTACACGTGGTCATTAATAAAATAAAAATTACTACGAACTTATTCAACCGCTAACTTAACAGGAGACGTCTGTAATAAAAATACCAACCAGCGACCATGGGCCTTGGCCCATTCTAACTGTACCACACCCCCTTATATATTTATCTCTCCCAAACCCTCTTCTCTCATCGGATGGTGTTGACTCACTCCCATCTCATGTGCTCCTCTCCATCCAGGTTCACCACGACCGCCACCGTCGCAAATCCTGACACCCACGGCCATCATCTCCCACCTATATCATGTACCACATTTGCACGCTGACTCGCCCTAGGGTTCACATGGCCTCAACAGTCGACTCCTTCCTATGTGACACTTGCTTTGCTACCTTTGCACAACCTGTGTGGTGGCACTGCCACAAATGGGCCTCGGTGGCCTGCCGCTGCATGAGATGCCGAGCGAATCACAATCCCCCTTCTCATTGTCGTCGGCACCCCAGCTCCAACTCCCCCTTGGCTAGGCCGAGGAGGTAAGACCCCCACTATCCCCTATTTTTTTTCACTCATATACACCACAGATTTGGAAGGACTGTGATGCTTATTTCGTGGTGTGGTCCTTCATATAGTCGTATCCATGTCATTGTATTAGTCTTCCCATTAATCTTTATTCTCACGACCCAAATATCCTACTCCCTCCGTTCCAGAATATAGTGTGTCCTCGGTTTCCATGCTTCAACTTTGACCATAAATTTAACCAACGAGATTGACTGCGGCCGGAGCAAAAATTATACCAGTGAATTCGTATTCAAAAGAAGTTTTCAATTATACAATTTTTGCTCCTGCCGCTGACGGTCTCGTTGATTAAATTTATAGTCAAAGTTGAACCTCGAAAAGCGTGGGCTCGCTATATTATGGAACGGAGGGAGTATATGTTAAACCTGAAACCATTAGAATTGAAAGCACACCATTAATGTTTTCAATACTCTCTCTCTCAGTTTACAAGGCGTGCACGTACCCCTAGATCGTCAATTTAACCAACATAATAGAAGTCATATATTACAAAAAACATACCATTATAAACTTCAGATGTTCTATTTTCAAGCGGTATAATTTTTGTGTTATTTAGTTTATATTACGGTGATAAAATTGGCAACCTAGGTATACGCGTACCTGTAATCATATTGGACCACATGCTTTTCAGTAAGCGCACTCCACATGTTATACAAGGTAACTTCAACATGAATTTCATTGCCCAGTTTCGTGCGTCGATTTCTAGTTACTCATGAACCTAGATTTCTTGTGGGGATACAAAAGTTAGGTTTCCAGCATGCTCAACCCATCGTGGTCTTCCCAACAAAACTCTCATCGGTACGGCTCGAATATCCATCTGTATTCACTCAAGATTTGCAATATTAGAGAACATCTACCTACATGGCTATTCACTCTAAAGTAGGCAAGTAGGCATATGGTATCTAACATTATGAATGGTTGGAGTGGATAGGAATGGACATGTGAAGCGAACGATGGGATTTTTGTCGGGAAGATCATATTGGGTTGAGCATGATCGAAACCTAGCTAACACCAAGAATATTCTCCAAGACAGTAAAGAGAAGGTGACTAAAACAAAGTAGGCCTTTGCGATCTCGGTTATTGATATTAATGTTTTGCCCATAGAATAGATAAAGTACCTGGAAGCATGTATATAGAATGTTACCGAGCAGTATATGCACAGAATAGCACGTATATTGTATATAGGTGTGTAGCTAACCACAAGTTTGAATGATTAACCATCAACTAGATTTATAGCATCTCGCCACCAAAACATAATCGAGTGTGTCAACAATATTAAGTTGGATGAGGATTAACTATTCTGAAAATCTTCTACAGCGAGCAATATATCATGAATGAGAAACGTTTCATACTAAATTGCAAGTTATGTCAACACCTATAAGGTGTAGGAACTTATAATTTATGGTATTCAACCTTCCCCATATTAGAAAACAGAGATCAAGTATGCATCTAAGTTCTCAAGAGTTATGACTGACGGTTATAACAAAACATAGCACAATTAGTTGCTTAGGAACAACTACATAAAGTTGGGAAACAAGTTAACTACAGTACTAGGAAACAAAACTATTATTCACACATCAGCGAATTTGGTGCTCCCTTCACTCCTTGTAGTTATCTTCCTTTTCCACCAAAGAGGGGATTGAGAAATGCCTGGTTTATCAATTGCCCAGAACTTGCCATCACCTCGAGATATATCTGCCAAATCATCACATGTAACTCTAGGCTACCAACCATAGACATATTCACAAAGTAACTTTTCCTATTTCCACCCGAATTTCTTCATATTTAATTTGGTTGGAGTAAGTCTCTATTTTACCACATTGCACAACATATGTGTGCAATGTGGTAATTTGCCGAAATGGAGGCTCATTCCTACCAAATTTAAATACGGAAAAATTCATGAGAAAATTAGGAAACTTAGTTTATCTGTGAACATGTCCATGGGTGGACTCTTGGAGTTACATCTATGACCCATGTAATATATCTCAAGTTAATGAAAAGCTCTTGCGATTGATAAGCCAGGCATTGCTCAAGCCCTCTTGGGTGGAAAAGGATGATAACTACAACAGTGAAGTGAGCACCAAATTCGCTGACGAGTGAGTAATACTCTTTATTTTCCATTATCACAGTTAACTTATTTCACAGCTGTATGTAGTTAAATCAGAGCAACTGAGGTCTTAACTTTTAAGAACTCAGAAACATACTCTATTTCTTCTAGTATGACCGGTAGGCTGAATACCACCAATTTAAATTCCCAACTTATAGTAGTGGACAGAGAATTAATACATATACAATATTTCTGGTTTATTATATAACACTTGCAGTAGAATGTCTATACTGTAGCCAAATTGTCACCCAACATAATATTGGTGGCATGCTCATTTTATGTTTCAGAAGTATTATCCTGTAAAGATTATGCTGATAGTTAATCAGTCATTCATGTGGTATGTTATGCACCTATTTAGTGATTTATAGGGCACAGGTAGACGAGGATCTCCGAATGTCGATCTCATCTGGCAGGCCAGGGAGGAGAGGCATCGCTCCTAATGTTGCGGCCTCCACCATTGCACGAGGAAAAGCAACAGGGATAATGAACATCGCTTTCTTAACAAAGTAACTATTCAAGATAAAAAAAAGGAGTGTGCTCAATTATTATTTTAAAGAACCAAAATACATAGTGAATTACACTGTCAGTTTGTGAATGGTAACTACAAAGGTTTTGTTTCTGCTAAAACACGACAAAGATTTTGTTCTTACCATGGAGACTTAAGAATCTAAGTTTCCCATGATGTTAACAAGAGTGGGAATGAGAATAAAGTAGGCAAGCAGAAAGTTTCATCGTTCACAATTGAGAAAGCTGTAGAAGAACATATGTAATGCTAAGTTTGGTGATGATAAGTTCCGGGCCACAATGATCTTGGAGAAGGCAACAGCAGAGGAGGTAGAAGCTGAAGCTGAAACATTTTTCAGAGTTTCAGCCTCAGAAGAGAGCTTCTGAGGTAGTAGGAAACTAAAATGACTAGAATATGCTTCACTGCTTGGAATTCACTAGCAAATCCAGGAGTTCAAAAGATCCATTAGTTACCTGGGGATTAAAATCATCAAGACCCGCCAGGTGCGCCCAGACCCCACCCTCCAGGACCTTCAGGCCCATGCGGATCCATTTCAACAAGCTAAAATACAGCTACACAATCTTTTTTTTTTCAGAGACCTGATGCATTTCAGTTCTGGAGATGAAGAATTTAACCCACTTGTTAAGGTTCCAAAGTATCAAACTAATGTTCTGTGCCTGCTGTTGTATTCTCATCAACACCTGATAACTTAAGAACAGGACATCTGAATCTACAAACCCCGTCTCAGAAACAGCAACTGAATATTGTGTCAGATTTCTTTTCACAAATCCAAACCGCATCTTAAATCTTAAGCTCTTAGAGCAATGGTGAGTTGACAAGCACATCTTAAATTCTTAACAGTCATTGTGTCACAAAAGCAAATAGTAGAAAGGGATGAAGCATACACTAATCATGAAAGATTGCAGTGTTCTAAGCCCTCCCTGCAGTTCCACAGATCACAAGTGGGCAATTCTAAAACAGGTTTCTTCGCAGGTCCAGAATTCAGAATTGGGCTAAAAGTGAGCCAAATTTTCAGCAGCAAAAAATAAATAACAAGATTGCATGGCTAAGAAGTACAATAGATAGCATCGATCATAATAGATGTAGCAAAAGGCACAGAACCTAATTAAGCAGCTTACAGTAGTTCCTTCTACCGCAGGTGACCTAAGCTAGACTCCTAGAGTCAACCTGATTTTGCCCGGAACTAGTCAAGGCAAAGCAAAAGACATTGCATTGTCGGTCATTGAAATCACTATCCCAAAAGACAGAGCAAGATTTGTTGGCACCTTATGAGCTTTGTTTTCAGGCCAGTTCAGAATCGCTGAGGTTGATGGTGTAGCTCGAGAGAAGCTGGATGATAGTGAAAGGACGGGCACCGACAGGGACGAACCGCTTGTTCTCCTTGACGAAATCGATGGCGTCAAACACCCTCTCATCTTTCCCATCACTGATGCTGTGCTTCCAGATGAAAGCAAATTTACCAACGTCTAGAGTGTAGTAGACGCAGTCTGCCTCAACGGATGGGAACTTGGCGGCACCAACAACCAGGCACCTTTGATGACCGATGAAGATGGCATACCTGCCCACGGTCTCCACAGGCGCGAGCGTCTGTTTCTCCATCGGTTCGATGCCGAGAACCATAACGCGTCCCCATGCCTTTGTGATGAAAAAGACTTCTCCACCAAAATCCAGTAGGAAACACCTGACGTCGCCGCGATGTCCAAGAGGGTCGACAGAGAAAAACTTGATGAAATGAACCTGAAGCTGCTCCGACAAATTGAACAAATTCTCCATGATGACATTAGACTGCGCCACCGATGCCCAGCCGCCGCCATTGGCGTACACGCCGCCGACCACCGCATTCCTCATGTAATTGTAAATAGCATTGTTGGTGGTCTCGGGGGCGAAACGTTTGCTCTCAGGAACTGCTGTGTAATACTTGCCAGTTGAGTCACAGAGGACGGTGAGATTGTGCAGAGTGCCGCCAGAGAAGAAGAAAACAGCGACCGACGTGTGCCGGGGCACGGGCGCCTTGAAACGGACCACAGCGCCTGTGAGAGGGTTCAGGACGCGAGCGGCGTGAGGCGGGCTCCTGTCGGCCAGGACGAAGAAACCACTGACAGTGGTGGTGACCACGTAGTAGTGACGGGGCAGCGGGAGCTGCTTGCGGAGGAAGCGGCCGGTGGCGGTGTTCACCAAGACCCGGCAGCCGTCGCTCTGGAAGGCCCCGTCGACGTCGAGGACTATCCAGAAGCGCGGGTGGAAGCGGGGGTCGGAGGCGTCGCTCCTCGGATCCTCGGTGGCGGAGCGCCAGTTGTGGCAGACGGCGCGGAGGTCCACATAGCAGTCGACGTCGTTGGTGTCGAGGAGGCAGTCGGCGATGCGGCGCACGAGGTCCGTCGGTAGCGAGGACCAGCCAGCAACAGCCATGGCCGGAAGAACAGGGGCCGCCAAAGGCATCGGAACCTCATCGCCGGGCGCGGCCGCCATCGACTCAGCTAGCTGCAAACACCCCAATGCCGCCGTACAAAAAGACGCAGCTTTTTAGCAAGGGAGCGGCGCAATGGGAAACTTGAAAAGTAGACAATCGCCGCCGTAAGGAAGGAGAAGGATTTAGTTACCGGATAGATCTACGGAGGAACAGCACCAAGCAGCTGGTAAATCGGCCGGCGGCGGCGGCGGCGGCAGCTAGGGATTCCGGGGAAAGGGGGAAAATGTTTCGGAGAGAGGAGAAGAACGTGTCTATTTTTATTTTTTTAGGTGAATTGTGTCTATTGAATTGTGTACATTTCTAATGGGCTGAATTGGATTGTAATGGGCTGGATATTTGAAATGTGTGGATTTGTCTGGGAAAGAACTAGTACACACTTTTTGTTCAATTTTCTGAATATATTCTAGCGAAAGAAATTAAAGTCGTATGTTGGGTACTATGCCAAAGCCACAGACTTTTTATGAAACTCGAGGAACTAGTATAGCAGCAGCTCTCGTAGAGTCGGCAAAATTTAGATCAGCAAAAGTTTTACGGCCACAATAACCAAAAAGATATGAAGGCTGGAACAACGAGCGCAAACTCAGAATCGCTAAACTGCTCTCTCATTCTAAGTTGGATGTTTGAACATCTGAAAACTAATAGCCAGATGTTTGAAATGTGTGGATTTGTCTCGGAAAGAACTAGTACACAATTATGTCGAAGTTTTTGAATATATTGTACTGGAAGTAATTGAAGTAATATGTTCGGTACCATCCCCAGGTGATAACTTTTTATGAAGCTCCAGAAACTAGTATAAGTCAATACAATTTAGAAATAAAAAACAAATGATAATGTGTTTTTTTTATTCACGACATTCATGTTTGTGTCTTCTAGGCTCTAACGATATGCAAATTTTCATAAAGACATGATACTCGTGGTGCTATGGAAAAAAAAAAGCAAATTGATACTCTGAAATGCTTATTTTCTGGACTCTTTCAGAGCATCAAATTTGTTTGTTTCTTAATAGCACAATGAATGACATCTCTTTTATTTATTAACAAACTTTTGCACGTAGATAGAACACAAGAGCATATTTGTTGCCCAAACAATTACCTGGTCTTTAAAAAAATGTTAATCTAGAAGCATCAGAGCTCAAACTACATTTTACATATCCATATCATTCAATCCTACATTCCTAAGAATCGCTAAATAAACACTTTTAGCTTAGTAATTTATTTATTGTTACAATTTTCTTATTCTTTTGGGCAAGGCTGGCCGCTAAAGCTGCTAGTCTATCTACTATACCACTAAGCTCCTAGGGGTGAAGGCCTCTAACTCAGTTGAGGAGATTGATTTTGGACTGGGATCCTAATTTTGACTTGGTAAGCAATTTTTTAAGGAGCTCTCTCGTTCAAGTGAGGTGTTCAACTTATAATTTATTTACGATTTTGACTGACAATGATTTCTCGAATCGTTAAAAACCAGCTTGTAAAAATATAATAGTCTCCCACACGCTCCCATCACTTGACAAAAAGAATGTACCAACATGCAACACTATAGCACCAATATGATTTTGGATTGAGTTTCTAATTTTGACTTAGTCAAAAAAAAAATCAAGGAGCTCTCTCATTGTGCTGACGTATTAAATTTTAAATTAGGTTCACGATTTTGACTGGTCATTATCACCTGATAAGAAAACACACTTCATCGGCTCGGCACACGCCAAAGCAAAAACAATTATGAAATCCAAACAATACCAACCGCACAATAAAGGGCGCCCTCCCAATCCTTCTAGTTGAAGACCAATACAACTAACCTATGGTTTTTCCTATTAGCTATTTCCTACATGTTATAAGAAATTGTAGTGAAGTGCGCACACACTCCACCACCTCAAAGAGCATGCCTATCAATGATGTTGCGGACATTGTGGTGCAATTTGTTTTTTTTACATAGTGCAGACATAGATGCTCATACATGCGCACATATACTCACTCTTATGAACGCACGCATGCACGCCATACCCTTATGAGCATATTCGAGAGACTAAGCTGGCACATCATCTTGAAATTGAAGAAGTCGCCACAGACGCCTTCCTAGTCGATGAGAAAATTTCCTCCCACTGAACATACATCCTCGGAAAGTCTGAAATAAATTCAGAAAAATGCAAGCACCAGTGCAATTTGGTTTTGTTTGTAGTTTATTGCTTGTTATAATTTTCACCGTTTTTTATTTCTAGCTTTCATATTTTATCAATATTTTTTCTTATTATTGTAGTTTTATGTAATAAATATATTTTTAGCAGCTGATATTTATTATACAGAAAATGCACCCAACTTGTCACCCCCAAATATGATTTATTCTAATGATAACTTTATTGTGAAACGACTGGAAAAAAAAATTCATCATTTACAATATTATGGAACAATTATCAATAGTTAGGTGGGCCTCTTTCCAAAAATATATACACATTTATATATAGACTAAAAAAATAGAAACCATGTACATAAGTTTTTTTATTGAGTTAAATTAATTCACTAATGTGTAAGGTTATATTCCACGGATGAACATTTTCCCATGTGTGACGCATTTTATTTTATTTTGGTTAAATGTGAGAAGTAATACCAACAGTTGATGAAAATATTTGTGTCTTGTGCCAGTTGGTAATTACTCTCAGTCAACCACACACACCCTTACACGCGGAGCTCGCAGTGAACCTCACAAGCCCCCGCCGGCTACAAACCTAGGAAGTTTAGTATCTTAATAGATTCCTCCAATGCTTAGTACCTTTATGAGCTTTAGGGTGTAGTCCATATGTCACCCTTCTCTCTTCTAGTGCTTTTTACCCCTCAAATTATGTGAGAGAAAAGAGAATTAACATATTTGGTCCCGAAAAAGGAAAAAAACGTTGATAAGTGCCACACGTATGACACAATGGACACCTGATCACACGACTCCGGTGGCATGCCCAGCAGGCGCCCACACGACCCTGTGTGGGCAAATATTAGAACCGCTGACACGTCCGAGCGCAGCTACTTCATGCCACACGCCGAACCAACAACAATTACTCACCCCCACCCCGCATGTGTGTCACGAAGCAATTCTGCCTTGACATTTTTTGATGGCAACTTTAGTTACCCCGGGATGGCAACTTTAGTTGTAAAGCTGAAGGAAATATACCCTAGAGGCAAAAATAAGGTTGTTATTTATATTTTCTTATATCATGATAAATGTTTATTATTCATGCTAGAATTGTATTAACCGGAAACTTAGTACATGTGTGAATACATAGACAAAACAAAGTATCCCTAGTATGCCTCTACTTGACTAGCTCGTTAATCAAAGAGGGTTATGTTTCCTGACCATAGACATGTGTTGTCATTTGATGAATGGGATCACATCATTAGTGAATGATGTGATGGACAAGACCCATCCGTTAGCTTTATGATCGTTAAGTTTTGTTGCTATTGCTTTCTTCATGACTTATACATGTTCCTCTGACTATGAGATTATGCAACTCCCGAATACCGGAGGAACACCTTGTGTGCTATCAAACGTCATAACGTAACTTGGTGATTATAAAGATGCTCTACAGGTGTCTCCGAAGGTATTTGTTGGGTTGGCATAGATCAAGATTAGGATTTGTCACTCAGTGTATCGGAGTGGTATCTCTGGGCCCTCTCGGTAATGCTCATCACTATAAGCCTTGCAAGCAATGTGACTAATGAGTTGATTACGGGATGATGCATTACGGAACGAGTAAAGAGACTTGCCGGTAACGAGATTGAAGTAGGTATGATGATACCAAAGATCGAATCTCGGGCAAGTAACATACCAATGACAAAGGGAACAACTTATCTTGTTGTGTGGTTTGACCGATAAAGATCTTCGTAGAATATGTAGGAGCCAATATGAGCATCCAGGTTCTGCTATTGGTTATTGATCGGAGATGTGTCTCGATCATCTCTACATAGTTCTCGAACCCGTAGGGTCCTCAGACTTAACGTTCGATGACGATTTGTATTATGAGTTATGTGTTTTGGTGACCGAAGTTTGTTACATTCAGACACTGGAATGGTTTTGGAAGTATCGGATAAGTTTCGTAGTACCGGGAGGTTACCGGAACCCCCCTTGGCGCACGCCCCCCAAACCCAAACCGAATTGGACCAGGGGTGGGGGCGTGGCCTCCCTTTCCTTCTTCTCCTCCACCTCTTTCCCCTTCCCCCCTTCTCCGGAAAGGAAGGGGAGTCCTACTAGGAGACTCCCCCCTTGGCGCGCCCCCTCTAGGCCGGCCGCCTCCTTCCCCCTCCTTTATATACAGGGGCAGGGGGGCTCCCCAAAGCACAACAGTTGTTCTCTTAGCCGTGTGTGGTGCCCCCTCCACCGTTTGCTCCTTCGATAGTATCATCGTAGTGCTTAGGCGAAGCCCTGCGCGGATCACATCATCAACACTGTCATCACGCCATCATGCTGACGAAACTCTCCCTCGACCCTCTGCTGGATCAAGAGTTTGAGGGACGCTATCAAAATGAACGTGTGTTGAAATCGGAGGTGTTGTACGTTCAGTGCTAGATCGGTTGGATCATGAAGACGTTCGACTACATCAACCGCGTTAACATAATGCTTTCGCTTTCGGTATACGAGGGTACGTGGACGCACTCTCCCCCTATCTTTGCTATGCATCCACTAGTACGCGTCGGTGCTATACAAACGGTTTTAAACCCCTTTCCGCGATGGCATTTGGAACCGTCGCCAAGTGAGTGTGGGCGATAGAGGGGTCCTTCTCACACGACCCAGAAACCGTCGGGGAGAGGCCCTCCTGGCACACAAGCTGGCTCGTGTGCGATCGGGCAAGGCATCGGAACCCAATTATTTTCGTTTGTATGTACATCCCACACAGTGAATCCCAGAAAAACATTTCCGTTCGTATGTGTATCACACACAGTCAATCCAAGGAGTACGTTTCTGTTCTTATGTACATCCCACACAGTGAATCCGGGGAAAACGTTTCCGTTCGTATGTA